CGTACACTATTTCGTAGATGGGACTTTTTTGGGCGTCGAAAAATCCACTATATGTAGGGTACACTAGCACTCTGGTTGTACGATTATTTTCCCTCAGGACTGATGCCATTGCATATTGCATGATTGTAATATAGCACATTTCAGAGCTGTACATGAACACGGCACTGTATATGGTGAGATCTCGACCGATTTTTCCATATTTTAGCATCAGCATGCGATTTCTTTGGAATTCTACCTGTCAAATAATTTTTATGTTTTTTACAAACGTTCCTCATACTAAATCATATTTATAAGTGCGTAATACAGAGGACAAATGGTACAAGTGATAAAATTTGATTTTAAGGTAATTGGGTGAAAAACTTCGTTTTAATACAGAAATCGAAAGGTTTCTGAGCTTTTCACATACTCGTCCGACTAACCTGCTTCCAATCTGTCTGCACCTGTTCGATACAGTATTCGATGTTCGGTCTGCGCGCTATCAGAGCCCAATACTTCATCAGATTGGTCGAAGCAAAACAAATCAAGCCTAAGAATCTCAGTTTTAACGAAGTGTCTTTTTCTTCCAGTATAACGTAAAGCACAAACTGCAGTACGTTGAAAACCGACACGAAATTACTGAGACCTACTACAATTTTTGGTACAAATTTTCCGATTCCTTTTACTACAGTGGGCCACATGCCGATGGTACTCAGAACCCATTTGTTGTGTTTCGTCACGTAAACGATGTCTTCCTCGTAGTTTGTATTCCGTGGTTGTCGAACGGAAAGATGCATATTCGCGGGTAGGTGGAAAACGACTGTTTACGACAGTTCAGGTGCATCGATTGTAAGGGCGTTGAGCTTGCGCTCGTGATATCGCGTGCGTGCATTTCTTGCAGCAATTCAATATCGATTATTACTTATGAATGTGGTGAACGTCTGCAATTGTGGAAATAGATGACAGCGTTACCAGCTATAGAATCTAACTTTCTGTCTAGACATAAGTGGAACAGATTAAAAGATAAGTGCACGACGATTAGTAGCTACTGGTGTTAAGAAAACACAATGTCATGTGCGTGATATATATATATATTCACGTAAAATAACAGCATATATGTATATATATATGTGAGTAACTTATTAATGAAATACTTTTCAATTTCTCTTTTTTCGCATTTGTTAAAAGGAGCAGTTTGAAAATGCAACATTTTCCAATTTATCTTTATAATAACAGCTTATTATTAATTTTATTATATAATTATTGCTAGTTAATATTATGATATATTTTTAAATGTTGACTTCTTTTAAATGAATGTTGGTTATTGCTGTGTAGACATACGAAATTATGATATACGTGGTTTGGTGTAATATGATCTGTACAATGTTTCGTGCATTTAAATACGAATAATAAAATATATTATTTTTACCTTGATATTTCTGTATAATTTCACATAGCAATAGATGCTAGTATGTCGTTATTTTCTACGATTTTGTACTTGGGTAACCTACTGCCAAGTTACCTTACATATTCACTAAAATGCAGTGTTTTGTTATGGAAAAAAAAGTGCTATGTACTATAAAATATAAATTAAAATAGCAACCAATACCATTACAACAAATTTCTTTATTTAATATTACACTTGGATTACGAAAATAACGGAATAATCATTAAATTGTTACATAAGAGTATTCCTGATAAAGTTTAAGTACGCGAATGATGTCTTTAAAATCTGCAAAGACGAAGTTAGATTTAGTCACCGATAGATTAAACGGTTGATTTGTGTAAATTTTGAACAGGTAAAACATGAAGGAAATATTTGTAAAAACCTACATTTCCGAAAGTAGGCAAGGATAAAAGAAACATTCTGCCAGCGCTAATTTTCACCGGACTACTCGACATAGCGATGATCAACATAAGATCTTGAACTGTTTTGACTGGTAAGCGGTACCAGTCAATCATATAGCAAGATATTCCGATGTTAGTACTCTGTAGTGTAAATGACGAATAATAAACGAAATTGATTAATACATTTTCGTACATTGATTACTTTACTATATTGAAAAGAGTTGAGTATTACGAAATACCTTTTCTAGCAGAAGATTGCCAATGTAGCATAACAAGAACATATTGAACGTCAAGGATACAAGTAGCATCGAGTATGTTGCCAAACCAATTTTATTATTCTGTTGCCAATCCTATTAAAAACATAAAAATACCATAAATTTCTAGAAATACAAACCAGCAACAACAAGAACGTACCGTTATACAATAGTATTCGAGCAAGCATATTACAAACGTGGAACCAACGAATTCGAAAAAGCACACTTCCTGCAGAACCGACTCAATCATCGCAGAAAATCTACAATAGTACGCGATATGTGTTTGGTCAGTATTAAACAATGTTTTATTTTACCTTCGTACTTTAAAATTTTTATGTGATGTTCTACGATTTCTATCAATCGAGTGCTTGGATTAGAATTTTTCTTGGCGAATTTTCCGTCGGCCAGATCATTTAACTGAGATATAACGACATCAAGCTGTCCACAGGCGTGTGTTGCAAAAAGAGCAGCCAAAGCACAACACCCAACTGTTACAGAGTTGAACACAAATGTGCACATGCATTGGAGAACGTACACGATTTCGTAGACAGGGCTTTTTTGAGCATCGAAAAATCCACTATACGTAGGGTACACTAACACCCTGATTGTACGATTATTTTCCTTCAGGCTCATTCCCATTGCATACTGCATGATCGTAACGTAGCACACGAGTGCGGTATACATGAACGCAGCACTGTATATGGTGAGATCTCGTCCGATCTTTCCGTATTTTAGCATCAACAGGCGATTTCTTGGGAATTCTACCTGCCAAATGATTATTGCACAAATGATTTTTGTACAAACAATATTTTAAGTGTGTAGTTCAGGGGAGAAGTGGTGTAAGTGATAAAATTTTGATTTGTGCAAACTAGGAGTAAAGATACATTTTAATACAGAAACCAGTATGTTTCCAAATAGTAAAATACTTTACCAAAAATGCAGTGACTACAAAAAATATTCTGCACATCGCTTTATTTACTATAATATTCTATTTACATATTAGTTAATTATGTCCAAGTATATTAAATTTCGTATCATAGAGTACTACGTATTTCATGTGACAACATAAATTTGATACTGTGAAAATGAAATATACATACAAAATCCGATAAGAAGCTCTTCGTAATACACGCGTATAATTTATAATATAATATAACGTAAGTAAAGCTTTATGTAAATATTGTTCGTAGTCATTGTCCTTATAAGGACAGAGAGTTAATAACATATTTTCTAAATAAATTTATTAACTAGGTATTGTTTCTTTCTATAGATATTTGTCTTTTATTTTAATACAAAATGCACTTATATTGCTGGTCATGAGTATTAGTAAACTTACTTTGTGTATGAAAGGAGCCCTATATTTCGTGCAAATTATATACCTCCCATGCTATTTTTATTTTACAGTTATTTCATAAATTTGTGTTTTGCAATTTTATATTTTATAGACCCTATTTTACTCACACCGTATGTTTCTTATGGGACATATTAATGTGAACCATTAAATATGGTAAAATTTGTTAGAATTTTTTAACAAGTATGTAACAAAAGGGTATCCTAATAACCGTAACCAATACAATTTTTCACTTTTCCACTAAACATTTCACATACATTAGTTTGACTGACCTGCTTCCAATCTGTCTGTATCTGCTCGATGCAGTATTCAATGTTTGGTTTGCGCAGTATCAGAGCCCAATACTTCATCAGGTTGGTTGAAGAATAGCAAGCCAATCCTAAGAGCCTTAGTCTTAGTAAAGGATCCTTTTCTTCCAATATAATATATAGCACACACTGCACTACGCTGAAGAACGACACGAAATTACTGAGTCCAATCACAATTTTTGGTACAAATTTACCGATGCCTTCTAGCACAGCGGGCCACATCCCGATGGAATTTAGAACCCATTTATTGTGTTTCGTCACGTAAATGATATCTTCCTCGTATTTTGGATTCCGCGGTTGATCGGCTTGATATCGAACGGAGAGGTGCATATTCGTGGCCAGGTGGAAAACGACTGTTTACGATAGTTCAGGTGCATCGATTGTAAGGGCATTGAGCTTGCGCTCATGATATCGCGTGCGTGCATTTCTTTTAGTACTTCAAAATCGATTATTACTCATGAATGTAGAGAACGTCTGCAATTGTGGAAATGGATGGTAGCGTTACCAGCTATAGAATCTTACTTTCTGTCTAGACATAAGTGGAACAGTTTAGACTATAAGTGCACGACGATTAGTAGTTGCTAGTGTTATGAAAACACAATGTCATGTGCGTGATATGTATGTTCATGTAAAATAACAATATATACATGTGAGTAATTTATTAATGAAATACCATACAATTCGTTTACTTTCTCTCTTTTTAGAGAAAGTAGTTTGAAAAAAGTAACATATATTTTGTAATTTCTTTGTACCATAATACCTCACTATTAATTTAATTATCTAATCACTGCTAGTTAATTTTGCGCGATATTATTAAATATTGGTTTTTTTACATGAAAATAGGCTGTGACTGATTGTGTTTTGTGGACATAGTAAATTACTGTGTCTGTGGTTTGTTGTCATACAATGTTTATGTGGCATCGTGTAATTAAATACGATTAATAAAATATGTTGTCTTTACCTTGGTAATTTTTTATGATTTCATACATTAGTACGATTTAGTATATCGTCATTTTCTATAATCTCCTGCTTGGTCAATCTATCGTCAAAATCACTGTATGTTTATCATAATGTTATTTATCGTTACCGAAGTTAATAATAATGTATACTCTATAATGTACATTTAGGTAGCAACAAACATTTTTACAATATATTTCTTTATTTACTATTCCATAAGTGAATATACGAAAATAACGGAATAATTATTAAATCATTACATAGTGGCATTCCGAACGAAGTTTAAGTACGCGAATGATGTCTTTAGAATCTGCAAAGACGAAGTTAGATTTAGTCACCGGTAGATTAAACGGTTGATTTGTGTAAATTTTGAACAGGCAAAACATGAAGGAAATATTTGTAAAAACCTACATTTCCGAAAGTAGGCAAGGATAAAAGAAATATTCTGCCGGCGCTAATTTTCACTGGAGTGTTCGACATAGCGATGATCAACATAAGATCTTGAACTGTTTTAGGTGGTAAGCGGTACCAGTCAATCATATAGCAAGATATTCCGATGTCAGAACTCTGTAATGTAAGTGCCGAATGTCAAACGAAACTGATTAATCCATTTCCATACATTGATTACTTGACCATATTGGAAAGGGTTGAGTATTACAAAATACCTTTTCAAGTAGAAGATTACCAATGTAGCATAACAAGAACATATTGAACGTCAAGGATACCAGTAGCATCGAGTATGTTGCCACACCAATTTTATTATTGCTTTGCCAATCCTACTGAAAACATAAAAATACCATATACTTCTATAAACTCAAATTAGCAGAAACAAGGACGTACCGTTAGACAATAATATTCGAGGAAGCATACTACCAACGTGGTACCAACGAATTCGAAAAAGCACACTTCCTGCAGAACCGTCTCAATCATAGTAGAAAATCTATAACATTAGGCGATATGTTTCCTGATACTTTCATGCAACTTTTTATTTCACCTACGTACTTTAAAATTTTTATATGATGTTTTACGATTTCCGTCAGTCGAGTGTTCGGACTAGAATTTTTCTCGGCGAATTTTCCATCGACCAGGTCATCTAATTGAGACATAACGATATCAATCTGTCCACAGGCGTGTGTTGCAAAAAGCGCAGCCAATCCACAACACGAAACTGTCACGGAGTTGAACAAAAGTGTGCACAAGCATTGGAGAACGTACACGATTTCGTAGATGGGACTTTTTTGGACGTCGAGCAATCCACTATAGGTAGGGTACACTAGCACTCTGGTTGTACGATTATTTTCCTTCAGCATTGATCCCAATGCATATTGCATGATTGTAATGTACAACATTTCAGAGCCATACATGAACACGGCACTGTATATGGTCAGATCTCGTCCCATCTTTCCGTATTTTAACATCAGTATGCGATTTCTTTGGAAATCTACCTGTCAAATGATTTCATGTTTTTCACAAACGTTCCTCATACTAAATCACATTTATATGTAAGTCAGAGTGTAGTTCAGGGGATAAGTGGTACAAGTGATAAAATTTGATTTTAGGGAAACTGGGTGTAATCTTTCATTTTAATACAGAAACCTACAAAAGCCTTCTGTGCTTCTGACATAGATATACTTGACTGACTCACTTGCTTCCAATCTATCTGCACCTGTTCGATACAGTATTCGATATTCGATTTGCGCGCTATCAGAGCCCAATACTTCATCAGATTGGTTGAAGCAAAACAAATCAGGCCTAAGAATCTCACTTTTAATGTAGGGTTCTTTTCTTCCAGTACAATGTGTAGTATAAATTGCAGTACGTTCAAAGACGATACGAAATTACTCAGACCTATTATAATTTTTGGTACAAACTTTCCGATTCCTTTTACTACAGTGGGCCACATGCCGATGGTACTCAGAACCCATTTGTTGTGTTTCGTCACGTAAACGATGTCTTCCTCGTAGTTTGTATTCCGTGGTTGTCGAACGGAAAGATGCATATTCGCGGGCGGATCGAAAACGACTGTTTACCACAGTTCAAGTGTATTGATTGTATGTCGCTGAGCTTACGCTCGTGATATTGCGTGCGTGCATCTGCAACTCTACTATTATTTGCAGCTACACTTGGAAATCGATCAATATGACTGAAAAAAGGCGCGTCTGGAACTATAGCATGGAATATTTACAACAACTAGTAGCCAGTTCCGCAAGGTAAACAGAGGAGATGGAAAGCTGCAATTACGCATAAGTGTTCGAAAGTTTGGTATTACTGTTTTCAAAACGATATACGACTGTAAGCTGTATAGTTGTGATTTTGTATTGAAGGAGATGTATTTTTATAATACATGTAAGTGAAATATGTTATGAAATTTTAAATGTCGTAACATTAGTATATTCCGGACATTTCTGTCTTTTTACTATAAAAAATCACTGAAAAATTATATTTTTTGTTCGTTTTAAAAGGAAAAGAATGTGATGACTGCATTTTGACGCATGAAATAGCGATAAATAAGTGCAAGTTGCGAAATTTTATCAACTGCTAATAGAAATGTTTCAGATATATATATTTTCTCTCACTGATTTTAATACTGAACAAATTTGAAACTATTCGAATTTAGATTGATTATCTGCTATGATTAATTTTGATACCTGCATTTTAGATTTAATAAGTGATATCTGAAAAAATAATTTTTCAATAGTAGTATAATACAATTGTATGATTACGATAGTGAAAGATATGTGTTCTTACCAATCTGCCACTGTTTGAAGTAAATTCAAATAAACTAATGACGTTTTTGCTACCTGGAAATTTTTAAGTGCAGAAGTTTATCATTCTATTTTATTTAAATTATTCGATTCGGTATACAGTGAAATTGTTTACAAATCAGAAACTTACGGAGCTAAAAGTGTTCAGAGATAATTCAATTATTTTTCCAGCAGTTAGTTTTGGCGGATACTGAGATATAGAGATCAGTAGAATGAGATCGTAAGCTTCTTTAGCTGGCAAGTTATACCAGTCGATTTCATAAGAAGCTGTACCAATTTCGCTACACTAATTATGATCATTAAGAATATCTAATGAAATAAAAAATATATAAAAGAGAAATTTGTACCTGCTCAGAAAGTAGTTCACCTATGTAGCAAAATATAAATATATTAAATGTAAAGGAAGTCAACAGAGTAATATAAGTGAATGTAACGATTAGATCAGTGCTTGCCCATTCCTAAAATACATTTATCACAATTATGTTCACTTACAATCTGTCTTTAACATAAAGAAACATATACTAATTCAATCGCTTACCATCAAACAGTAATATTCGAGCATACACATATTCATCGTGCACTCTACGATCTCCGTCAAGCAAATCTGGTATAAGGCATCTTCGATATTTTTCGAAAATCTGAAATTTCCAAAAAAGAAGATATATGTGTATGTAAAATATTCAAATATCTGTATGAATACATTTGAGAAGAAAAGTAAGTGGTCAATTGGGATAGCGGTCAGTGAAGCAGAATCGAACTGGTATTAATGTTATTGTGTTTCATTTATTGTATATCCTTATTATATATCCTTACATTACATAGATAATTTAGTAAAAAAATGAAATTAATATTTATATTATTGTGTAGGTGTTCCGTATTTAGCGAAACTTTATAACAATTTTCACCACCAATCCACTTATTTTTGTTCCCAACAGTATGTACGAAAGATGTAGGAAAATACGTACAGATTCTTATCGTGTTAAAATTCATTCGTATCAAAAGAGAAGTCTTGTCGATTAATAAATTCGATATGCATTACCTTAAAGTTTCTACGTGATCGCGCACAATAACAGCAAAAAGATCACGATCCTTGCTCTCCACCAAATTCTGCAACCTTACAATCTGTATTTGAATCTGGCCACAAACATGAGTAACAAACACTGCAGCCAAACCATATGCAACCGTGGTGATGCTATACATAATCATAGCAGCGAAACAGTGGAGAAAGAACACGATTTCATAGGTAGGACTAGATTGCGTATCAAAAAACGGATCGTAACCGATATAGGTCAATGGTCTAACTGTATAATTCTCTCTAGTCTTATCTGTGGACAAGAATTGTGCCACCGTGTGATAGGACATTCCACCTGTATATATAAAAACGGCGCACATGGTGATAAGCTTTCTGCTAATGCCCGCGTATTTTAACATAATCGCTCGATGACTCGGATCCTGCACTCTCTTCCAGTCATTTTTGAGCTGTCGGATGCACCTCTGCAGGAAGGCTCCTTTTAGGGCAAGGTAACTGTACTTAACTGTGGCAAATACACAGAAGCCAACTGGACCGAGCATTTTCACCTTCATGTAAAGATTTTTCTCTACGAAGAAGAAGTGATGGCCAGATGGCAAGATGATGAAGAATATACTGCAGAAGCATATGATCATCACGACGACTGAGAGGAGCTGTTCCAGTCTGCTCGTGTGATTGTTAACGAGGGGCCACATTCCAATCAGCTTCAACAGCCATTGACACATCTGCAGCGTGTAATGTATGTCGTCCTGGTAATGGTTGTTTTTTAGTTGATCGTCACCTATGGTGTATGATCGATCATACATACTGGCAGCTCTAGTGCACACTGTCGACTGGCCGATAGGATAGAAACTTTCAACACGATATTGTCAGAACGCAAGCGCGCGCTTCTCCGTTTCGATGAACTTCTCCACATGCTTCGTGAATGAGGGGGCTTCGTAGGGGAAACTTTCTTCGGTGATTATAAAGCATGCAAGTTTTTTCATCTTTTACAGGTTCTGTATTCGCATGTTGGAGAAGAGGTTTAGTGGAGTTACAGTGCAAAGAAATCGTGCATTCAGCTAATAAACGTGTGTGGTGTTCTACTTTTAACATTTTGCTGTAAGGGATGAAATACTTTATTGTGATTTCAATATGATGAGATGTGAAGTATGAACTAATATGTTTATGTCAAATACATATATTATGCTATTGCATGTCAATGTGTATTGTATTTTATGTTGGATATACATTTTATTCTATCGATGTTTTAAATTGTAATAATTTTTATATATGTATCTATTTGTTATTTTAACTTCCATTTGAGATCGTTAAGTGATCATAATTATACAAAGGATCTTTACCGGGCAACTGATACCAGTTCGTCATGTAAACCATGTCACCAACTTTCTGGTACTGTCAGCAATATAAATTGTTTGGTGAAACCATGCTGATGTCTTCTAGCACGGTGGGTTACATCTCGATGGTACTCAGATTTTGTTTGTTGTGTATCGTTACGTTATCGATTTCTTTCTCATAATTTAGATTTCGCGGATGATCTTTCTGACATCGGTCCCAGAGGTGCATATTTGTAAACGAATCAAATGCAGCTATTTACAAATTCAAGTGCATTGATTGTGAGGTTGTTAAGTTTGAGCTCGTGATGCCTTGTGCGTACATCTGAAAATATATTACTATTCGCAACTTGCAAATCGATGCATACTGCTTAAAAAACGAGCGTCTGATATTATATGTTATATATACAGCTAGAAACCAGTTTTGTAAGGCAAACAGAAGAGATCGAAAGCTGGTATCATGCATAAGTTCTCGACGATTAGGTGTTACTGCTTTTCAAATGGTATACGACTGTAAGCTATACAGTTGTTATGAAGAGATACACTTTGTATTGAAAAAAATTGCACTTTTAATACTGGACAAATTTGGAACTATTCCTATTTAGATTGATCATCTACTACAATTAATTCTGATACCTGAATTTCACATTTCGAAGAGGTTTCATCTGCGAAAATAATTTTTTAATAATATGATGATATGATTTTACGATTCTGATAGTAAAAGATAAGTGTTCTTACCAATCTGCAACTGTTTGAAGTAAATTCAAATAAACTAATGACGTTTTTGCTACCTGGAAATTTTTAAGTGCAGAAGTTTATCATTATATTTCATTTAAATTATTCGATTCGGTATACTGTGAAATTGTTTACAAACCAGAAACTTACGGAGCTAAAAGTGTTCAGAGATAATTCAATTATTTTTCCGGCAGTTAGTTTTGGTGGATATTGAGATATAGAGATCAGTAGAATTAGGTCGTAAGCTTCTTTAGCTGGCAAGTTATACCAGTCGATTTCATAGGAAACTGTACCAATTTCACTACACTAATTATGATCATTGGGAATGTTTAATGAGATGAAGAGAATACGCGAGTAAACAAAATTGTCTTGCAACTACCTGCTCAGAAAGAAGTTCACCTATGTAGCAAAATATAAATATATTAAATGTGAAGGAAATCAACAGAGTCATATAAGTCAATGTAGCGATTAGATCACTGTTTGCCCATTCCTAAAAGACATTTATCAAAATTTCAATTTCTTAAAATGTATCTTCAACGTAAATAAATATATATTAATTGAGTTGCTTACCACCAAGCAGTAATATTCGAGCATACACATATTTATCGTGCATTCTACGATCTCTGTCAAGCAAATCTGGTACAAAGCATCTTCGATATTTTTAGAAAATCTGAAATTTCGATGTATTTACTTTTCTATATAAAATCCCGTCTATAACATAAGAAATATTTGAACATGTATATGAATACAGTTGAGCAGGAAACTAAATAGCCAATTAGAATAACCAAGAATAGTAATCAGCACGAAGTTTAATCATACTGGTGTTAGTCTTATATCGAGTTTCATTTATTCTACGTATACTTATATTATATAGACTATTTCGTAAATAAATGAAATTAATATTTATATTATTGTTAAGTAAGTCATATTTAACGAAACTCCTTTGATATTAATTTGCGCTACCTGTTTATTTATTTGTCTGTATGGTATATAATGGTATAATATATGGTATGGTATATAATCTGTAGTAAAAAGCTCACACATTCTTATAACAGTGAAAATATCATCAATTGATAAATTCGATATTCGTTACCTTAAAATTTTCAATGTTTCCGCGTGATCGTGCACAATCACACTAAAGAGATCACGATCCTTGCTCTCCACCAAATTCTGCAATCTTGCTATTTGTATTTGAATCTGGCCACAAACGTGAGTAACAAACACTGCAGCCAAACCATATGCAACCGTGGTGATGCTATACATAATCATAGCAGCGAAGCAGTGAAGAAGGAACACGATTTCATACGTAGGGCTGGACTGCGTATCAAAAAACGGATCGTAACCGATATACGCCAATGGTCTAACTGTGTAATTTTCTCTAGTCCTCTCCTTGGACAAGAATTGCGCCACCGTGTGATAGGACATTCCACCTGTATATATAAAAACAGCGCACACGGTGATAAGCTTTCTGCTGACGCCCGCGTATTTTAACATGATCGCCCGATGACTCGGATCTTGCACTCTCTTCCAGTCATTTCTGAGCTGTCGGATGCAGCTCTGCAGGAAGGCTCCTTTTAGGGCAAGGTAACTGTACTTAATTGTTGCAAATACACAGAAACTAACCGGACCGAGCATTTTCATACTCGGATCCTCCACTCTCTTCCAGTCATTTTTGAGCTGTCGGATGCACCTCTGTAGGAAGGCTCCTTTTCGGGCGAGGTAACTGTACTTAACTGTTGCAAATACACAGAAGCTAACCGGACCGAGCATTTTCATCTTCATATATAAATTTTTCTCTACGAAGAAGAAATGATGACCAGATGGCAAGATGATGAAGAATATGCTGGAGTAGCACGTGATCATGAGTACGATTGAGAGGAGCTGTTCGAGTCTGCTAGTATGATTGTTAAGGAGAGGCCATATTCCAATCAGCTTCAACAGCCATTGACACATCTGCAGCGTGTATTGTATGTCGTTCTGGTAATGGTTGTTTTTTAGTTGATCGTCACCTATGGTGTATGATCGATCATACATACTGGCAGCTCTAGCGCACACTGTCGACTGGCCGATAGGATAGAAACTTTCAACACGATATTGTCAGAACGCAAGCGCGCGCTTCTCCGTTTCGATGAACTTCTCCACATACTTCGTGAATGAGGGAGCTTCGTAGGGGAAACTTTTTTCGCTGATTATTAAGCATGCAAGTTTTTTCATCTTTTACAGGTTCTGTATTCGCATGTTGGAGGAGAGGTTTAATGGAGTTACTGTGCAGAGTAATCATGCGATCGGAGAATAAGCGTATGTTGTGTACCACTTATTTAATTTTACTATAAGTGGCGATATATCTTATTGTGGTTTTTAAATGGCTGTGAAGAATTAATATTTCTGTGTCAAATATATATATCGTTTTATTGCGTGCCAGTGTGTATTATATTTTATATTGCATATACATTTTATTCTATCGATGTTTTAAATTGTAATAATTTTTATATATGTATCTATTTAATAGTCTTTAGACTGTTTTGTGTAATGGACTTCTGCTTTGTTTTAGAAAAATTATGTTGTACCTGTTGTAATGCGAGAGGTTGTTCATATGAAATTTTACTCTATTGCGTCGAGCTGCAACTTACAGCGATTGAGTCTCTAAAGCTTAAGGGTAGTTTGGAAGAGACCAGATACTAGGTAGAAGAAATGAGTGTTCACTTAATGAAGTTCTATTACTAGGCAAGTTATTGGGCTTAGTTAGAGAGGGCAGACAGAAAAAGCAATTGATTAGTGCACGTTTCATAGAAAGAGGAAGTCCAGTTGCGACATACAAGTCACATCAGAGCAGCGACAGGTGATCGCATGCGAAGTTCGAGTGTCCGACTAAAGGTTTGCAGGCAAGGAAATAATAAAGCGCGCAGAGTTTAAAGAAAAGAAAATAGTATACTAATACCACGCAATTTTGCATCGTTGTGTTGTCTTTTGTTGTACAGAAGCAGCTGTCGTTTCCTTAAACTACTTCTGAAGACTGGAAGGCTTTACAATTGTCTTGAAGCGCTGTGACAGTATCCTTTTATGTTAATAGCGGCTATAGAATTTTATTATACATCTTATGGATTATAAAAAAGACGAAGATATTTTGGAGGAAATATTTTTCAGAAATTTACATGTCCGGAAATGTAAGATTAAAATCTCTTTTTTAATGGATTATAAAAAGGAGAAAAATGTAAGTATGGGAAAAAGAAAGAACGGAAGTTAGAATTCCTGTTGCGTATCCTTTCTAAAATACAATCACTAATTCAGTTTTTAATTTCACGTTTCAAATTTTCAAACGTTTATCATATAATTTAGTCCGTTGTATATTTTAGAGTCTAACACTAAAATAATTCAAATTATTTCAATAATAAATTGGAGACTTCACTCAGAATATTAAATAAATTATGTAAATTTCAGGTACAGCTTCAGCATCCCATTTGGGACAGAATGTCTGGAAAAGTAAGTACTCAGCAATAGACTAACATTATTTCATGGTAGTATTGTCAAAAATCATACATATCATTACTAGTCTGTAACTGTTTGAAGTAGATTCAGATAAACCAGCGACGTTTTTGCTACCTGGAAATAGCAAAGTACAAAATTTTGATTTAATTGTGTCATAATATTAAAATTATTTAAAAAATAAGAACTTACGGAGCTAAAAGTATTCAGAGACAATTCAATAATTTTACCGGCCGTTAGCTTCGGTGGATATTGCGATATAGAGATCAGTAGAATTAGGTCGTAAGCTCTCTTAGCTGGCAGCTGATACCATTCGATTTCATAGGAAGTTGTACCAATTTGGCTACACTAATTACGATCATTGAGAACGCTTAATAATATAGAAAATGTGTAAATAAGCGAAATTCCTGTTTAACTACCTGTTCAGTGAGAAGTTCGCCTATGTAGCAAAATATAAATATATTAAATGTGAAGGAGGTCAACAGAGTCATATAAGTCAATGTAGCGATTAGATCACTGTTTGCCCATTCCTAAAAAGCATTTAACATAATGAAACTTTCTTGCAATTAATCATTAAAATACATAAAGACATATCAGTTCAATTGCTTGCCATTAAGCAGTAATATTCCAGTATACACATGCAAATCGTGCACTCTACGATTTCTGTTAAGCATATCTGATACAAAGCATCTTCGATGTTCTTTGAAAATCTGAAATTTTCATACATTTACTTCTTTATATAAGATTCTTTTCGTAATATAAAAGATTTCGTTATACATTAGAATACAGTCGGGAAGGGGTTAAGTGTACAGGCGGAGTAGATATCAATGAAGTTTAACCGAATTAGTATTAGTAGTGTATTGAATTACATTTTATTTATTATATGTATAGCATTATAATATATAGATTATTTATTAAATAATTGAAATTAATATTTACATTTTTTTTGCAAACAGGTCGTATTTAACGAAACTTTATTGATATCACCTTGCACTACCTATTCATTTATTTTTGTCACCGACTGTACGATATATAAATTGTATGAAAAGTGCATAAACTCTTATCATGTTGGAGATCTTATCAATTAACAATTTTGATATTCGTTACCTTAATGTTTCCGCGTGATCGTGCACAATCACACTAAAGAGATCACGATCCTTGCTCTCCACCAAATTCTGCAATCTTGCTATTTGTATTTGAATCTGGCCACAAACGTGAGTAACAAACACTGCAGCCAAACCATATGCAACCGTGGTGATGCTATACATAATCATAGCAGCGAAGCAGTGAAGAAAGAACACGATTTCATACGTAGGACTGGATTGCGTATCAAAAAACGGGTCGTAACCGATATACGCCAATGGTCTAACTGTGTAATTTTCTCTAGTCCTCTCCTTGGACAAGAATTGCGCCACCGTGTGATAGGACATTCCACCTGTATATATAAAAACAGCGCACATGGTGATAAGCTTTCTGCTAATGCCCGCGTATTTTAACATAATCGCCCGATGACTCGGATCCTCCACTCTCTTCCAGTCATTTTTGAGCTGTCGGATGCACCTCTGTAGGAAGGCTCCTTTTCGGGCGAGGTAACTGTACTTAACTGTTGCAAATACACAGAAGCTAACCGGACCGAGCATTTTCATCTTCATATATAAATTTTTCTCTACGAAGAAGAAATGATGACCAGATGGCAAGATGATGAAGAATATGCTGGAGTAGCACGTGATCATGAGTACGATTGAGAGGAGCTGTTCGAGTCTGCTAGTATGATTGTTAAGGAGAGGCCATATTCCAATCAGCTTCAACAGCCATTGACACATCTGCAGCGTGTAATTTATGTCGTTTTGGTAATGGTTATTTTTTAGTTGATCGTCACCTATAGTGTATGATCGATCATACATACTGGCAGCTCTAGTGCACACTGTCGACTGGCCGATAGGATAGAAACTTTCAACACGATACTGTCAGAACGCAAGCGCGCGCTTCTCCGTTTCGATGAACTTCTCCACATGCTTCGTGAATGAGGGGGCTTCGTAGGGGAAACTTTCTTCGGTGATTATTAAGCATGCAAGTTTTTTCATCTTTTATAGGTTCTGTATTCGCATGTTGGAGGCGAACTGTGGTGCTTGAGTGTAGTTACAGAGCGCAGAAGTAGTGTGATCGAATAATAAGTTTGTTGTAGTCCACTTTTTAAATTTTGTTATAGGTGATGACATATCTTATTATGGTTCCTAAATGACGTATGATGTGAACTATGAATTAATATTTTTATGTTAGATATATATTTCAAATTATAATATATATATTGTACTACTGTATGTCAGAACGTATTATACTTTGTGTTGAATACACATATCACACTATCAGTGTTTTAAATTGTTGGAATCTTTATATATATATATATTTAACCAGTAGCGACATTTTCCAAGTTTGCCTGTCGAGGGTTTTGTGCAATGGATGTCTGCTTTGTTTGAAGAAAATTATATGGTAACTTTTTATGTTAGCAGCAGCTTTAGAATTTAATTATACGCGATGAGGTTTATGAAAAGGAACGGAGATGTTTTAGGGATATTTCCAGCAATACTATTTTATATGTCTGAAAATGTAAGATTAATATCTTTTTTTTACTGGATAATGAAGAGAAGAAAAATGTAAGTATGGGAAAAAAACGAAAGGTTAAAATCCTGTCGTGTATCGTTTCTAGAATTCAATCATCAATCCAGTTTTTAATGTCACTTTTCCAATTTTCAATCGTTTACCGTATTATTCTGTCTGTTGTATATTGTAAAGTTTAATATTAAAATAATTCAAATTATTTCAACAATAAATATCCGATTTCACTAAGAATATTAAATAGATCGTGTAAATTCCAAGTAGAACGCCAGTATCACATTTGGGACAGAATATCTGTAATAATAATTTTTCAGTAGTGGAATGGCATAATTTCATGTTAATATGATCAGAAATCGTAAGTTAAATTACCAGTCAGTAACTGTTCGAAGTAAATTCAAATAAATTACCGACGATTTTGCTACCTGGAAACAGTAAAGAGTAAAACTTTGATTTAATTGTGTCATAATATTAACACTATTTCAAAAATAAAGACTTACAGAGCTAAAAGTATTCAGAGACAGTTCAATTATTTTTCCGGCCGTCAGCTTTGGTGGATAGTGAGATATGGAGATCAGTAGAATTAGGTCATAAGCTTTCTTAGCTGGCAGCTGATACCATTCGATTTCATAGGAAGTTATACCAATTTGGCTACACTGATTACGACCATCGAAAACACTTAATAACGTAAAAAATACATAAATAAGCGAAATTCTTTTGTAGCTACCTGTTCAGTGAGAATTTCGCCTATGTAGCAAAATATAAATATATTAAATGTGAAGGAGATCAACAGAGTAACGTAAGTTAATATGGCGATCGCATCGCTATTTTGCCATTCCTAAAATATATTGTGAATAACATCTTTTCATAACCATAGAAAATAAAGAGATATTAATTGAATTGTTTACCATCATACAATAATATTCAAGTAAACACATAATAATCGTCGATTCGACAATCTCCGTCAGACATATTTCACGCAAAGCTTCCTCAACATTTTTCGAAAATCTAAAATATCCACGTGTTTCGTTCTCTAACATTTCCTTCATTTTATAAAACTCTCGTTGTATACTTATTTTATATTTCTTACCTTAAAACTTCCACGTGATCGTGCACGATAACGGACATAGAATCACGGCCGTTGTTCTTTCTCTTCTCGTTTTCCACCAAATCATGCAATCTTGCTATTTGTACTTGGATCTGCCCACAAATGTGAGTAACAAAGATCGCAGCTAAACTGTATGCAACCGTCGTCACGCTGTACATGATCATAGCAGCGAAGCACTGGAGGAAAAACACAACTTCGTACGTAGGACTGGATTGAGTGTCCAAGAACGAATCGTAGCCAGGATAAGTCAGTGGTCTAAATGTATAATTCTTCTTATTCCTTTCCTTCGATAAGAATTGCATTACCGTGTGATATGACATTCCGCCAGTATATAGAAAAATGGCACAAAGTGTGATGAGTTTTCTGCTGACCGTCGCATATTTTAACATGATCGTTCGATGATTCGGATCCTGTACCATTTTCCAGTCTTTTTCAACATGCTGGATGCATCGTTCAAAGAAGGCTCCTTTCACACCAAGGTAGCAATATTTAATTGTGGAAGAGAGACAAAAGCCAACTGGGCCGAGCAGTTTCACTTTCACGTGCACACTCTTCTCCACGAAAAAGATATGATAAAATGATGGTAAGATAATAAAGAGCAAACTGGAGAAGCACATGATCATCAGGATGACCGAGACAAGCTGCTCTAGTTTACTGGTATGATTACTAACGAGAGGCCACACTCCGATTGGTTTTAACAGCCATTGGCACATTTGCAGCGTGTAATGTATATCGTTTTCATAATGTATGTTTCTCAGCTGATCATCAACTGTGGTGTATGGTCGATCATGCATACTGACAGCTCTGGTGTACAGGGACGACTGATCGACAGGATAGAAACTTTCGACACGATATGGTCAGAACGCAAGCGCGCGTCTCTTCGTTTGAACTCCTCCACGTGTGTGCGCTTTGTAGGCAAGGGGGGACACAGTGGGGAAACTTTCGTCGATAATTAGCGAGCACTCATTCTTGTTTCTTCATTTGCAGGTTTTACATTCGCTGGAGGGTAGATCGAGACATAGTGCAAAGAAATCATTTGATCGGATGATAAGTGTATGTCGTTTACTTCTTCTATTGAACGATTTTTATGTACTATTGTGGTTCCTTAATGCAGTGAGATTTGAAATACGATTATATCGTGCACCTATATTGGTATTGTTTTATATTAGCTATGCACACTATACCATTAATGTTATGAATTAAAAAAATGTTTACGTAAACTGTGTTATTTTCTAAATTCATTTTTAGTATATTCGTTTTTAATATAATGTATCATATGATATCTTTTATGCAAATAGGACGACTGTAAAAGTTTTTTATCTGTTCTTCGGTTTATATAAAATTAGATCTCCAATTATATCTTAAATCTCATTCTAATAAAAATTTAGTGTTAGTGTCCAACAAAGTACAAAAAAGAGTAACGAAAAGTGTAATTGAGAGAAACTTTGTGATATTATTTTTAACACTCATACTTCTCTTTTAATATTCTCTTTAAATTCTTAACGTATAATCGTAAATTGAACTTTCAAGTATTTATTGTATAAATCTATTTTCCAAATTATTTTAATACGTAACGCAAGTACTTTATTATATTAAAATAATTCTAATCATTTCAACAATATATCTCGGTTTAAGCGCAGCATATCCGATAAATCACGTAGAATTCAGGTACAGGATTCTTTTCTTTACCATATCTTGGTAACTTTATTTAGAATTCAGTAACCGTTCGCAGCATGTTCAGGTAAACTAGCGAGGATTTCAACACCTAAAAATAATAAACTTTATTATTCGTTAAAAATTTCATTTTCAGTTCGAGATCACGTACAACGCCAAAAGTGTTCATCGATAGAACGAGTATTTTTCCAGCCGTGAGTTTCAGAGGGTATTTCGATATGGCGAGCACCAGAACGATGTCACGAGCTTTTCTCCCAGGTAGATTGTACCATTCTATATCGTACAAAGCGGTCGCGATTTCGCTACCCTGGTACAACACTCATATCTATTATGCCAATGGTTAATTATCCGATGGTTAAGTGTCTATGTTGAAACATGGAGTGAATAATGAGGCGAAAAACTGTATGAATGAATCACGTCTTGAGTATATACTTTTTATAAATACCTGCCCAAGAAGAAGCTCTCCTACGTAACAATATATCAGTATATTAAAGGTGAAAGAAGTTAAAAGGATGATATACGTTGAGATCGCGACTGAATCGCTAGTCTCCCATTCCTAAAATATATTGCTTTATAATTGTTGTTTTAAACGCATATACTGTTTTTTGGTATTTGAAATTATACATATGCTATGATACATATACGTGTAATATTAATTACATAATAATTTATACATAACTATACATATATGAGATTACGTTAATAATATTTGTTATTTGATATATATAGAATAATAATTTGCGTTACTTTTACCATCATACAGTAATATTCGAGTAAGCATATTAGCAAGGTGGACAGCATTACTTCTATCAAGAATAATCCTTGTAATGCAGTTTCAATGTTTTTCGTAAATCTGCAATGTCATAGTTATTTCTCGAGCAATATAATAATATGTAATTAAAGGGTTCAGTAGGAAAGTCGTATAAGTGTACCTTTTTCTAGAAATGAATTAAGCACAGAAAACGATGTATAGAGGATTTTTTTTTAATGAATTTTAATGATATGCTTTAATGTTTGAGGACACAAAGATTTTTCTATCAAACTTCGCTCAAAATTTTCTTTCCTTTCTTTTCTTAATTATTTAACTGCTTTACCTCAGAATCTCCACGTGTTCACTCACGATAACCGCCAAATGATCCTCGATCCCATTTTTCAACGCCTTCCCATCCTTCCTCAGGTTCTCCAGCCTCAACGTTTGTATCTTAATCTGTCCACAGGCGTGCGTAGTAAAAATCGCCGTCAAACTATATGCAGCCATCGTGATATTACCTGTGATCAGAACGTAAACACAGTGCATACAATACACGATTTCATACGTGGGGCTTTCTTGAATATCGAAAAATGCCTCGTAGCCAGGATAGGTGAGCGGCCTGATCGTTATGTTCTCATTAATCTTCTTCTTCGATAATAATGGCATAATAGTGTGATAAGACAGACCACCGGTATACATGAATGCCGCACATAGAGTGATCAGATTTCTGCCCATGGTCACGTATCGAACCATGATTGCACGATGATCTTTGTCTTGCAGCATCTTCCAATTTTTCTTTACATGTTTGACACAACGACCGAGTTCTGAACTTTTTACGCCAAGGTAACCGTACTTAAACAGTGCAGTTACACAAAATGCTAATGGACCCAAGAATTTGATTTTCATGTTCATGTCTTTTTCATAGAACAAGATATAATAACCGAATGGCACGATGACAAATTGCAAGATTGAACAGCAAATTATGATTAACAACACAGACACTATTTTCTCGAATTTGTTCACGTGATCGTGCAGGAAAAAGTAGATGCCTAAAGGCTTCAAGATCCAATGACAAAATTGGAATGTGTGATATATGTCGCTTTTGTAATGGCTATTTTGTAGATGATCGTTGACATCGCTGGAGGATCGCATGTTGACGCTTTCGGCGCACAGCGTCGACTAAACTCACTGAACGATGCTCACAACGATACTGAAAGGGATATATATTGGGACGCAAGCGCAAAACTGAATGAATGAAACTTTATTTCATAATCGATAGGTATTACGCGTATTGCAGTCACATGTTACTCCTGGCTGGCTTGTGTTTGGGTTTCCACTGTGGGGACTCGTCTCTATAGCGATATGTGGTCAATAGTTCTTGTCATTTTGCTTAACCTTGTTGTTTTTCTTGGGTTTCTATGATCGAAAATTATATTTCTATACTGATAGCTTCTAAATATATGATTTTAGAGTCTTATTATTTTTTTTTATGTCACGCTTCTTAAGAATAAACTATTTCTCAGTTTGAGAAGGAGATATCTGGAAGGATGTAAATCCGAGAAAAAAAAAAGAAAAACAACAGGATTAATGTACTTTTAGTGCAATTGTAAAATTTTGAAACAAATTTTTGTGAAGTACTATTTCTATCAATTGAGTTTTCGTGAAATTGATCGTTTAAGAAGTACGGATGTGAAGCATATAAAAAATACTTTCGAATAATATAACGCATATTTCTCCATGTTCAAAGTAACGTCATTTGGTATCTGTGACACATATATATACGAGGTAAAAGAAATACTTATTTATATATACAACTTTACATAAATATGTTTGAATAAAAAATCTACTAAGTTTATTATCTAAATATATCTTTCTTACATGTGCAGTCTATATCATGGTCGTTTGACGAAGCATATTGAAATAGGTGAAAACAGTTTTTATTATCTGTAATTGCAAAGGATATTTCTTGAGAATTAATAATATTATTTTTTAAGAATTAAGAGAATTAAAAGGACATACATTACCAAAAGTGTACACGGACATGGTAATTATCTTTCCAGCTGTTATTTTAACTTCCATATGAGATCGTGAAATGATCATAATTATACTAAGGATATTTTTATCAGGCAACTGATACCAGTTCGTCATGTAAACCATGTCACCAACTTTCTGGCACTATCAGCAACATAACCGGTAACTCAATCAATCATGTAGATAATTATGTTTAAGATTGTCGCTTAAGTTGCCTGTTTATTACCTGTTCCTTGAGTACTTCACCGATATAACATATTAAGAAAATGTTGAAAGTCATAGATAGAAATACCATGACATATATGATCATAGCCTGAACATTATGTTCAGACCATTCCTAAGGAAAATATAAATATTTTTAATTGGATCGACCATCTCTATTGTCTACGTTGATAAGTATTACAGTTCTTTTCTTTTTTGCCTCAATTTGTAAAACTTAAACAAAATTTTATATTATCATATTTGTTATTGTAGAGAACATATTTTTTAATATCATGTAATCATTATCAGATTGTAGTGGCAATAGTAAATAAAATGTATAAAAGTCTCTTTGTGGAATTGAGGCAGTAGTATCGATGAATATATAGTCAGACAAATTACTTTTAATAAGGAAATATACAAAAAAGTTACAAGTTCTCAGGACAGAAGCAAAATTTCAATGATTAACGAACATTGGATATTTATCAATAATAACAATGATGAATGATAAACGATAATGGACATATTTGATGATTACTGAATAAAAGATATAATTCAATAATTATTGTTGGAAATAATGAAAGTTTCGTTTTATAATTCTCTTATCGACACTTAGGGATAAAATACAAATCTTTCCATCTTTCTTCGTTCTCCTCTAATTTATTTCAGAAATTTTGCCTCTGGTCGGTAGATCCATAAAATTAACATATATGTATATATTTGTTATTATATCAGCATACCGCAAGTATATAATAGCAGGGCATGCACATACCCAGCATACACTTGAACATTTCCATGAAGCATATTGGGCTCATTATACGTTCAATACGTGCTATCAAACTGAATTTAATATTACATTAGGTAAATTTATTAAAATATCAGGATAAAATAAAATATTACCTTAGAACTCTCAGATGATGTTCAACGATTACACCGATTTTGTTAATCTGGGCTTGCTTATTCTGTTGCTTGGTCTGATTTGTGAATTCGTCGACCCACGTCACCATTATGTTCAACTGACCAAGAGCGTGGCTTGCAAATACGGTAGCAAGACTAAAAGAACCTGCAGCGCCCGAACTCACTACAAGTGCTGACAGGAATTGTGTACCGAGGATTATGTCGTGTGTCGGATTAGTCTGAACTGCGAATTTATATGCCGGGCAAGGTAAAGTATATATGTCCATGGTTTCGTTGCCGACTTTGATGGTCCGTCTAAACGCACCCAATACAACGCAAGTATAAATCATGGTGCCCTGCATGAAACCTGCGCAAAATCCAGCAACGTAACGACCGAGTTTCGCGTTCTTCCACATCTCATACCGATCCTGCACCCTCGTTATCATTTTCCAATCGGATCGCACGCGTTCTATGCAATAATTAATATCCTCTTGACGTAACAACAGCACAGCATAATTGAACCCATCGACACACCAGTGGCTTAAAGGACCAAGCGTCTTGAGTTTCAAGTAAATATCTTCTTTTACGAGAATTATATGAAGAAAACCAGGGACTATTGTGAACAATACGATGCACCAACAGATTACGATTGAAATTTGCGCTAAGATCTTTTCGCGTCTCGTGGTAGAAGGTGAGTTGGGCCAAGCTCCCATTGGTCGTAAATACCATCGGCTCAACTGTACGCTGTATTCACCGAGATTACCATACTTTTTTTTAGCTGCAACCAGCTCGTCTGCCATTGTATTCCCTGACCGAAGTTCCGAATGCAACTGAACCGGGGGAACAATAGTTCGCGTTGCTTATTGCTTGCGCATACTTCGTCAAAGGATTCGCGCCGATCGATTCGTTTAGTGACCTGCTGCAACTTTTTGCTGTAAACGAATCTCAATACGCTTCAAGTTGTTGATAATAGTTTTATGAGTTGAGCAATATTGGGGGAATGGAGCGGAGAAGGACTTGTACATTCGCAGAGGAGACATTTTATAGGTCATTTTCACATACAGGTGAAATATGATTTAGAAATCTGAAACGTATCAGATCATTTCGGTGCACAAGTTGGTAGGTGAATGTGTAAAGTTTGGAATAATTTTGCTCAAATAATCATTCCAAATTTTAATTATTATAGTTTTGCTATCATAAGAAATATGTAGATGTAACATTAGTTTATAGAAGAATGTGTTTTCAAGTAGTGATAGTACAGTATATTAAGTATATTGAATATATTGAGATGACGGCTGTAACATGCGTAGTCACTAACGATTTTAATATCTGTAACAGAAGACATTCGATTGAAGTACATTGCACCATGATTGATAGACACTTGTGCGTAAGTGCATATTAGCTACAATGAAGTTTTAGAATTGCGCATGTGCTAACAGCATGGTATATGGCAAATCAGATTCGAGAAGCTTACTGTCTGTGCAATTGAAATCTCCTTATAACCACCTGTTGATTCAATACGTAGCAAGGTATGTATCTGTATCTATACAATCCAGTGAAATTTCTAGAAATGTTTTTACGAATAAATATAAATATATTTGATATTGTTTGAATAAGTAAAAAATAACTAATCCATACTAATCAGTAATAATTTCAAAAGCTATTCTAGATTAAAATAATAATCATTTCACATGAACTTTCAATAGTATTAATTTTTCAGGAATGTTGTCCAATAATTAATTGTTTACAAATATGTTTAGATATAATTATAATTTTATCAACCATCTCGATGAGATTTATGCTATAATATGTTCTTTTTTACAGACACTGCACATCTCACAAGCACACATTTAATCATCATAAAAGGCGAAAGAAATATTTTTTGTACCTTCAAGTTATTTCAACAGAAAAATGATAAACTTTATTGTCTAAGTAGATATACGTTAAAGATATGTGCAGCTTACGTCATCGTCGTCTGACATAGCATATTTAGATACGCAAAAACTGTCTTTACTATCTGCAATCACACGTGATTCCATGAATATTTTTGAATATTCCATGAATATTTATTTTTCCATATATATTTATTCTTTCAAAATTAAGAAAATTGAGAACACGTACATTAGCGAATGTTAATACGGACATGTCAATGATCTTTCCCGCAGTTATTTTAACTTCCATGCTAGACCGAGAAATGATCATAATCAGATTTATGATATCTTGGTCAGGCAAATGATGCCAGTCTGCCATATAAACCATGTCTCCAATCTTTTTACACTATTAGCATTTGAGTCAATGAGTTTAAAGTATTAGATTATGTTACCGTACGTTCATTACCTTTTCCATTATTATTTCACCGATGTAACATACTAAAAAAATGTTGCAAGTCATAGATATAATTATCATAACATATGCAGCTATGTTCTGAATATTATGTTCAGACCATTCCTGAGGAAAAGTAAATATTTTCAATTAGATTCAACAACTATAATGTTCAGACGAATTTTATAGCATTTTTATTGTTTTAATTCGGGGAGCATATATTAATCAGATTTAAGTATTTGTAAACATTAGACATTATTCTTTTGAATTTTCAACATAAAAACGTACGAAACTTATTATATTGGAGGCCCACGGAGCGAAAGCAAATTTTCAAACAATTTAACACAAACTATGTTTAAATTTAATAAATATATCCAATGATTAATCAGCATATTTATCAATGACCATTATTATATTATTACAACGAATACTTAATAATTAATTTATAAACTCAAAGATTCTTGGCTGTGACAATAAAAGTTTCACTTGATAATTGCTTTTTTCATTCCTGGTAGAAATTTTGTTTCCAATCAGTGGTCCTATAGAATTACCATACACATTTCTTAATATGTTTAGCATACCGCAAGAATGTAATAGCTAGGCATGCCCATACCCAGCATACATTTGAACATTTCCATGAAGCATATTGGACTCATAATACGTTCGATACGTGCGATCAAACTGCATTTCAAAATACATTAGTCAAATTCATTAAATTATCAAAATAAGAATATAAAAACAAGTATTACCTTAGAGCTCTCAAATGATGTTCTACGATTACGCCTATTTTATTGGCTCGAGCATTACTATTTTGATCTTTCGAATGCTGATTCACGAACTCGTTGATCCAAGTTACCATTATGTTTAACTGACCAAGAGCATGGCTTGCGAATACTGTAGCAAGACTAAACGCGCCAGCGGCGCTTGATGTTGCGATAAATGCTGATAAAAATTGTGTACCAAGAATGATGTCGTGTCCTGGATTAGTTTGAACTGGAAGTTTATACGCTGGGCAAGGTAAAGTATATACGAGGATGGTCTCATTTCTGACTTCGATGGTTCGTTTAAATGCTCCTAATACAAGGCAAGTGCAAAAGACGCTCCCGTGCATGAAAGCGGCGCAGAAACACGCGATGTAGCGACCGAGTTTTGCATTCTTTAACATTATTCGTTGGTCTTCCAATCTTGTTATAGTCTTCCAATCTGTTCTTATATGTTTTATGCAATAATGTATGTCACCTTGGCGTAGCAACAACACAGCGTAATTGAATCCTCCGACACACCAATGACTAAGTGGACCAAACATTTTTAGTTTGAGGTAAAGGTCTTCTTTCTCGAGCAGGATGTTTAATACTCCAGGAATTATAGTGAACAATGAAAAGCACCAACAAATTACATTCAAAATCCATGACATGAATTTTTCACGGTTAGTAGTAGAATTTGAAGAGGGCCAAGCGCCTATTGGTTTTAAGATCCATCGGTTCACCTGTATGCTGTACTCGCTAAGACTACCAAATTTTCTTTCAACCGTTACAGGGTCGTCTGTCATTGTGTTCACTCAGCAATGTCGCCGTTGCAACTGAATCGAGGGGAAAGTACTCTGTGTTGCTCAATGTGCGCGCATACTTTGTCAAAGGATTCGCGCCGATCGATTCTGTCAGTTGCTGTTTACCGCTTTTTGTGGCGGTAAATTAATCTGCGTGCGATTCAAATTGTTGACACTTGTCGTACGAATTCGACAATGTACACGCAATAGAGAACAAGTTATATTTTTATAAAAAATATGTGTTAAAAAGTCTTACTACAGAAATTAGTGGGTGAAGGTAAATATCTTCTTTAAATAATTGGTCTGCTTGGAATATATTATACTGGAGTTAGTAGATACTGTCCGTGTATGAAATATATATTTGAGTGCACGACCGTCAAGTTGATTCTTCAATTATTTATGTAGCGAGATACAGACAAATATTATTGCAAGTTACCATATTTTTCATTATTTTAGTACGGCATTTTTATTGCACTAAATATCTCTTTTATTGTTCTTGAATTAATATGAGGTAACTCCCAAATGACAAGCAATTCGCCAAATGGTCATGTTGTCGCGTACAATGTATTTATTCGAAAGGATATTTCAGGAAATAGCATGGAAATACTTTTAAGATTTCAAAATTTTTACTTTACAGTGATTTACAAATTTTCATTTTTTTAGGCATTTATCATATCAGGCCTAAAAATGAATCCAATTTTCTAAAATATAGACTTTCAAATCAGTAGAACTTGGAAACACATTTTTTCCGATAACTACTTTAGATTTTAATAAGAAGATGCGAAAGCAAATATAATACGATTTCGTTTTCTCATGTAGTGAGAGTACGAAGCAGACTCAAATATGCGAATGCGGACCTTAACACCTGTAGCGAAGAAAATTCTACAAGAATGCGGATTATATAATTCAAAATAATCGACGAATAGATAAATATACGCTACTTACGCTGCAGAAACTGGCTAACGATAATTCGACGAGCTTTCCCGCTGTTAATTTCGTGGAAGAGTTTGCAACGGCGAATATTAAAATCAGTCCTAGAGCTTTCTTTTGTGGCAAACGATACCAATCGATCATATAGGCCGATAGACTAATGTTCCTACACTACGATATTGAAATTACAGTATTTTATTAGAATTTCATTTATATTTCAGGTAAAAAAATACCAAACGATAACTTTCAAAATAAGTAAATTACCTGTTCAGATAAAATTTCCCCAATGTAACACAGGATGAAAATATTGAACGTAAATGATATGAGCAATGTGCAATAAGTCAATGTTCCTATAGTTTCACTTTGCTCCCATTCCTAGAAAATTGACAACAAAACATGACAAATGTAATTTAATATATCGATACAGTACAACTCCGTTTATATAAACTCTACTTATTTGAGCAAAAATTTAGTTAGTAATTGTAAATTAGTAAATGTAAATTTAGTCAATTAAATGAATTTCGGTTGTTTGAATCTGTTAATGTGAACATGGATTCCTATTGGGTAAACCAAAGATCAAAGCTGGTGAAGAGATACGTGTGGCCCTCATGATATGAATTTCAATTATATAAGGTATTTGTTAATGTTGTGAAAATTATGCGTAATTATACAAGTTCGTATAAATGGAGTTCTACTGTACTTTAATATCTTTATCAGCATCACTTCACTACCGTGAGTAAATAATATCCAAGGAAACAAATATTCATCGTACAGCCTATTAGTTCCACGAAACATATCTCGTTAAGAAGGTCTTCTATCTGAGATATAAAACTAAAAATTGTTTGCAAATTATACGTTTACATAGTCTATACGATCTACATAAACATTGAAACATTTTTTACCCTAGTATGTGTAAATGATGTTCCACAATATCGCCTAATCGCTGTTCATGGACGTTCGAGTTCTTTTCTTCTTCCAGACTACCGACGAGTCTTTGAAGCATTTTCACGAGGATTCCAAACTGTCCGCAGACGTGCATGACGAATACAGCAGCCAAGCTGCAAGCACCCACGGTTACCGAATATATCACAAATCCAGCCAAACATTGCATGAACTGCACGATTTCAAACGAGGGACTAGTCCGTGGATCCAGTAGACCGCGGTAAATAGGAAACGCTTGTGATCTCACGGTTTCGTTGTCGATGATTTCCGTGCGTTTGGTACATAGTGGCATCACGGTGGTATAGAAAAATCCGCCAGAATACATGAAGCCAGCGCAAAAGATCGCCAAAGATCTCCCAATTCTTGCATTCTCTTTCATAATTTCTCTGTCTTCTTGTCGCAGTTGCGCATGAATGCGATCCCAGTCTGAGCGAATATTCTCGATACATTTTCCAATCTTGGCACCACGAGAGACGAGGATGTAATATTTAATCGCAGCCATCACGCAGAAGCTGAGCGGACCGATCATTTTGATCTTGGTATCGAGATCGCCTGTTTTGTCGAGAACAGTGCAGAGAGCGCAAGGTACCAGGAGAAAACTTATTAGAAAGGAGCTAATCAAGGTGAGGATGATGGAATTGATCTTTTCTGTTGTTGTGATACACAGGGAGATAGGCCAGACTCCGATTGACTTGAGTAACCAACGATTTATCTGGACACTATACATCCAATCTTTGTCCCATGAATGGGTAGATGGATTTACAAGGCCGACCATGCTGCATGGAATGATATTAACGAGTCGAAAGTGCATTCACGGGTAGATGGATTTACAAGGCCGACCATGCTGCATGGAATGATATTAACAAGTCGAAAGTGCATTCACAACTGAAGGGATGATGAGTGGTGTACATCGATTACTGAAGCTTTCGATATCGCGCATGTGCTAATTTCGTCGGCTTTCTCTCAACAAACCTGATTCGAGCAGCTTGCCAGTGCAGAACTTACCTCCTAACCACTAGTTGATTCGATCCGCGAGGAGGTGTGTATGTGTGCACGGCAAAGCCATAAGTGCGAACGTATGGTATTAGAAATGTTTCTCCCATGAATTCTATGTAATTTTTATGTGCGATATTTTAATAGAATTGAAGCGGTTACAATACGTTTTTCGTAAATGCTATCATTCTTTTTTTTCTGTGTCTTACCTCCTATTGTCGCATCACGTTTGTGATCTGAACCACAGTTATATTATATTATACAGTATATTGCATTTGTGATAAAGTTTAGTTTTCAATTAGTTTCAGTTGTATGTGTTATAGTAATCGCGTGAGTTAGTCACTGTGCGTAAGATAAGGATCGGATGACGGAGGATAATTTGGACTTTTTCGCAGGATGGGATAGCTGATCAGAGGTATGTTTTCATCACCGGTCATTTTGACCACACAATAGGAATAGGTACACGCGAAGTATCGGTAGGGTTAATATTAAATAATTGGTCTGGTTCGAATATATTATGCTGGAGATAGTAGATATTGTCCGTGTATGAAATATATATTTGAGTGCACGACCGTCAAGTTGATTCTTCAATTACTTATGTGGCGAGACACAGCCAAATATTATTGCAAATTACTATATTTTTCATTATTTTAGTGCGGCATTTTTATTGCACTAAATATCTCTTTTATTGCTCTTGAATTAATATGAGGTAACTCCCAAATAATAAGCCATTCGAAATGCCAAATGGTCATGTTGAAGCGTACAATGTATTTATTCGAAAGAATATTTCAGGAAATAGCATGGAAATACTTTTAAGATTTCAAAATTTTTACTTTACAGTGATTTACAAATTTTCATTTATCTAAGCATTTATCATACTTAAAAATGAATCCATTTCTCTAAAATATAATCTTTCAAATCAGTAGAACTTGGAAACACTTTTTGTCCGATAACTACTTTAGATTTTAATAAGAAGATACTAAAGCAAATATAATATGATTTCGTATTTTCATATAGTGAGAGTACGAAGTAGACTCAAATATGCGAATGCGGACTTTAACACCTGTAGCGGAGAAAATTCTACAAGAATGCGGATTATATAATTCAAAATAATCGACGAATAGATAAATATACGCTACTTACGCTGCAGAAACTGGCTAACG